CTGCCACAGCTTCTCCTCACCTGACCCTGTCCAGCTTTCCTCATTCTGTATGTTTGGCTATTGGCTATACTTCCATCTGCTTTTTTTTTTTTTTTGAGACGGAGTCTCGCTCTGTCGCCCAGGCTGGAGTGCCGTGGAGTGATTTTGGCTCACTGCAAGCTCTGCCTCCTGGGTTCACACCATTCTCCTGCCTCAGCCTCCCGAGTATCTGGGACTACAGGCGCCCACCACTAATTTTTTGTATTTTTAGTAGAGACGGGGTTTCACCGTGTTAGCCAGGATGGTCTTGATCTGACCTCGTGATCCACCCGCCTCGGCCTCCCAAAGTGTTGGGATTACAGGCATGAGCTACCGCACCCTGCACTTTCTTTTGTTGTTTTGTTTTTGAGACGGAATCTTGCTTTTCGCTTTTTTGCCCAGGCTGGAGTTCAATGGCGCAGTCTTGGCTCACAGCAAACTCCACCTCCTGGGTTCAAGTGATTTTCCTGCCTCAGCCTCCCGAGTAGCTGGGATTACAGGCACATGTCATGACAGCTGGCTAATTTTTTGTATTTTTAGTAAAGATGGGGTTTCACCATGTTGGCCAGGCTGGTCTCAAACTGCTAACCTCAAGGGATCTGCCTGCCTCAGCCTCCCAAAGTGCTGGGATTACAGGCATGAGCCACCGTGCCCGCCCTCCCATTGGCTCTTATCCTGCTTAAATGTGCAGTAATAGCATGCACCGTGGCTCATGCCTGTAATCCCAGGACTTTGGGAGGCTGAGGCTGGGGATCACTTGAGCCCAGGAGTTCAAGGCCAGCCTGGGCAACATGGTGAGACCTTGTCTCTAAAAAAATAAATTTAGCCAGGCTTCATGGCACATGCCTGTGGTCCCAGCTACTTAGGAGGCTAGGACAGGAGGAACATTTGAGCCAGGTTGAGGCTGCAGTGATCCGTGACTGCGCCACTGCACTCCAGCCTGGGTGACAGAGCAACAGCCTGTGTCAAAAAATAAATATAAATGTGGCCAGGCATGGTGTCTCACACCTGTAATCCCAGCACTTTGGGAGGCCGAGGCGGGTGGATCACGAGGTCAGGAGATCAGACCATCCTGGCTAACATGGGGAAACTCCGTCTCTACTAAAAATACAAAAAATTAGCCGGGCGTGGTGGCGGGCACTCGGGAAGCTGAGGCAGGAGAATGGCGTGAACCCAAGAGGCAGAGCTTGTAGTGAGCAGAGATTGTGCCACTGCACTCCAGCCTGGGGGACACAGTGAGATTCCGTCTCAAAAAAATGAATGAATGAATGCAGACATGGCCTCTTCCACTTTCCCCACAACTGTCAATTTATGCTTTTTTCTTTTAGGGAACATGTTGCTGAGTGGACCAATTTAAATTATGTGCTTGTAACCTTCTGTGAACATACTATTTGGGCTCCTGTTTTCACATCACCTGATAAGTATTTTCCATATTAATATGCTGCCAGTTCTGATTACAATCCAACCAACTGAGCAACAAAGTTTAAACACAACCAAATCCCTGAAATATTCAGAGTCCAATATTTTGTTGTTTTGTTTTAGAGATATGGTGTTGCTCTGGTGCCTAGGCTGGAATGCAGTGGTGTGATCTCAGCTCACTGCAGGTGCGACCCCCCACCACCCTCAGGCTCAAGTAATACTCCTGCCTCAGCCTCCAGAGTGCTGGGACTACAGGTGTGCAGCACCACGCCCAGCTAATTGTATTTCTTTTGTAGAGATGGGGTCTCAACATGCTGCCCAGATTGGTCCCAATCTACTGGGCTCAAGTGCTTGGTCTCCCAAAGTGCTGGGATTATAGGCATGAGCCATTTCGGCCAGCTCAGAGTCCTTTTTTTTTTTTTTTTTTTTTGAGACAGTCTCGCCCTGTTGCCCAAGCAAGAGTGCAGTGGCATGATCTCAGCTAACTGCAACCTCTGCCTCCCAGGTTCAAGCGATTCTCATGCCTCAGCCTCCCGAATAGCTGGGATTACACACGTGTGCCACCACACCCGGCTAATTTTTGTATTTTTAGTA